TGTTCACATGGTATTTGAATACCGTTAATTAAAGAATCCTGCCTAATTTTATTCGCTAATACTTCTGAAATAATTATAAAAAGTAAAGCGGAGAGCGGACATCCTTGTCTCAAGACCTTTTTGCAGACAAAAATAATTTGAAACCCAACCATTGTTACAAATCGTACTTTGTAAATTTTTGTACAATGTTTCTACCCAACAAATAAAAGATATACCAAAATTGAATCTTTTTAAAGCCTGGCTGACAAAAGTCCATTCTACAGTATCGAACGCTTTTGCAAAATCTACAAAAACAATGGCATTATTTATCTTGGTTTCGTTACAAAAATGTATGACATCATCAATTAACCTTACATTGGATCCGATGGAGCGTCCTTTAATATATGCAGTTTGGTCTTCACTAATAATGGTATTTAATATTGGCTTTACCCTAGTTGCGAGAACATTTGCAGCAATTTTGTAGTCGACATTGAGTAAGCTGATCGGTCTCCAGTTACTAACCAGTTCAGGTTTTCCTTTTATATACAAAAGTGATATAACTGCCCTGCGTTGAGGGAACTCATTTCGCGTTTTTCGTAAGCATAGTTTAATGCGTCAACTAACATAAGGTTTACGCTGTCCCAAAAAGTAACATAAAATTCTACAGGTAGACCGTCACAGCCGGATGACTTATTTAATGCCATACTCTTAACTGCTATTTCACATTCTTGCAATGTTAACAAACCTTCACAACTGTTTTGATCATTCTCATTTAAAATATAATCAAATTTAACTGAGTCTAAGTAATTATTTATTTCATTTTCGTCGGGGTTAACTGAACTATAAATAGTTTTAAAGTAATCAACTCCTTGTTTTAAAATATTTTTTTGGTCCGTAATAGTCTCACCACTATCTGTTTCCAATTTAATAATGGTTTTCTTAGTTTGATTATTATTTTCAAGCCCAAGGAAAAAATTATTATTTTGTTCACCTTCGCACCATTTTATGCGTGAACGGATCTGTTGCCCTTTAATTTTGTCTACATAGAATTTATTAAGGGGTTTTTCAAGACGCTCGATTTCGTTGAGCTGATCCTTATTAACCGGATTGAGATTTTGAAGTTGTTTTAATTTGATTGATATCTCTTTTTCGATTTTTTTCTTAACCCTTGCTTTGTGTTTTGCAAAATTGATTGAAAACTCTTTTACTTTCATTTTACAATAATCCCAAGTTATTCTTTTGTCATCTAAAACAGAACGTTCATCTTTAACATTTTTAATAATTGTTTTTATTTGTTTTATATACGTTTTGTCTTGAAGGAGTGAGGTGTTTAATTTCCAAATCCCTGAACCTCTTGAACTAGAGTTCAGTGTTAACTTTATCGATACAGCAAGTTGGTCAGTTAGAATACCTGGCCGAATGTCACCTGACAAATCTTTGTTCTCATTATTCTCCAAAAAAAAATCTAATCTTGTTTTCACATTAGATCTTCTGTATGTAAAGTGTTTTTTGCCTTTATTTAAGACTTTCAATATATCTACAAAATTGAACTTATTACAAAACGAATTTAATACTTTTGTATATCTTTTTTCATTTGGATCACCGCCCTCTTTATCCATATTTATGTTCATTATACTATTGAAATCTCCTCCTAAGATAATATGACTGTGATCGGTTGTTTTCTTATCGATAACTTTTCTAATGAAAGCTATTCTATCACCTAAAATGTTTGGGGCATAAAATGAAAGTAAACGGTTTTTGATCAATTTTACAGTTTATTAATAGAATTCTACCTTGTTCATCAGAGAGGTGATTTATAACACTTATATCAATTCCATTTTTAAATAAAATGCTTACACCTCTACTGTTTGATGATCCAATAGAGTGAAAGGAAACACCTTTCCAGTCGTACACATCATTATATTTTATTATTTTGTTACAAAAATGGCTTTCTTGAATAAAAAGAACATTTGCCTTCTGGTCCTCGTACCATTTGTAAATGGCAAGTCTTTTATTTTTGTTCCTAAGCCCACGGCAGTTTAGGGTTATTATATGCAGTGTCTCTACACTCGCTCTACACATACTTTATTACTGCCGCCAAAAGCGGTTATGCATTCACTGTTGTTTGCCTGCCTTTTAGCAAAATCACACAAAACGGATCATCATAAAATTTACCAGAGTGGTACATAATAATCTAAGAAAAATCACAAGGCTTGTTGCAACAGAATATCGGCCTATTAGCTTGCTTGAAGTTACCAAGCCGATGGTTCACAGGTTGAAAGTTGGGATATAGGTTGTGGGTGCTTTATTGCAGCCATAAAGTTTAAAAGTATTGAGAACACACTTCTGACCAATCTCCATGATGGCATCCTCTCACTGCTTCCATACATCCTCGATGACAGAATATTCTGTGCGTGGCTGGTAGATTGGGGTAATATTGGCGATGGTTGACTTACATAAGAGTTTTTCACCAGTACCTGAGACAAAGCCACCAAATCCGTTAACAAGTTGTTTCTCACCTCTGCTAGTACCAATATGCAAGTAACCAAACATGATACTCTTGAATACACTTTGTTACACTGTTCAGTGTAGGCTGATTGGATACAGCTCCCTCAGAAAATTTGGGCCCAGCAAAACCTGAACTGGTGCCAGGGTCACGATCGTATCCCCTTTCAAGAGCAAATTTTGCTTCGTTTGTAGACAGGAAGCGTCGAAAGCTCAAACCCGGGTTTTACCTCTTGTACCTTGATTCCACCAGCATTGTTCAACACATTTTGAACCATGAATATTTGTCATAATTTTGTTCAGATTCATCATCAGCTCTTGACGATGTATCCACTTCCCTCACTCCTCAGCTTAACAGCATATTTCATATTTCAACAGCATATCTCATCTCAAAGGTGTTAGACGGTGCCGGAATCATAGTACATGAGGTGAAACCCAGGTTTGGAGCCAGCAACCAGAAGAAAATGCTTCGGACGCTACCTGTCTAAGCATAAAGCAAGATGCGCTCATGAGAATTGATATAGCCAAGATCCTGGCATCAGTGTATTATATGGTCGTGTTGGGCCAACAACTGTCTGATGGAGCTGCATTCATTCTGCCTGCGCTAAACTGTAGAGTGCATCTGAGAGTATCATATCTGGTTACAGACACGTGCAGTGGGGAGAAACAGCCTGTTCCAGGATTTGACGGTTTGGTCTCAAGTAGGCCTACAGGTTAAAAAGTTACCCTTATCAAGCAGCCATTCACAAACTATTTTATCACCAAGGAGCTACGGAAGCAGCCAGAGGAAACCACCATCCATGGAAATTTGACAGGAGTATGTTCTCAAAATTTCTGCGGTTGGTGGCTGCATGGAAGCCCTCTCCCTAATTTCCTAGCAGAGACAACCTATGTCCGAACTAACTTCAAATGATTTTAAAAATTGGGTGTCGTTTTAGCATGTTCCCCAGACAAGGTTTGTCTTATTAAACCCTTAGGCAATGGTCACTGCCAGTAAGGTAGAGCACTTGAGGAAATTTGACGTGAGTGACCATATTGGAGTTAAAAACAATAGAGATGGGTTAATTAAGCATGTAAAGGGATGTGTAATTAACAGGTTGGGTCCTCGTACCTATTTGGTGCGTGTTGAGGGAGTTGGCTAGTGTTCCTGTCAATGACGTAGGTGGGTATACTCCAAGGGAAGTTCATGAGAAGCAGCCGGATCCACATGTGGTAACACACCCTGAGCCTTTGCCAACGCAAAGTTCCACACTCTCTGAAACTCCAATGGTGGTCAAAAACCCCGGAGGGAGTGAACCGGTTAACAAAGGTCAAATAGTCCTACCAGCTCAAAAACCCCTATTGCGAAGAATTCTCACGAATAGTTAAGGCCCCAGACCGTCTGAATTTGTAGTTCAAAGTTATTTGGGGGAGAGTGTAGTGTACTGCACTGTTCATCAATTCCTAATGACATCATTACTCTAAAAACATTGGTTACTTATTTTTTTGTATGATATATAGGTCAAATGTTATACCAACATTCAATTTTCATTGAACATTCAAAATGGCCGTGTAAATTGCCGCCAAAATGTATTGCTAAGTCAATGTTTTGTATTTAAAAAATAAAATAATGCTTACTGTATACATTTGATTTTATGTGATCTTTATTTAATAGACTACGGTATACAAATTAATGATTTAAAAAAATCCAAGATGGCCACCAAAATGACCACCAAATGTATTGGGAAGTAAAGATTTTGTATTGAGAACTTAACAGCTTACTATATACATTTAGAGGTTTACTTGATTTTTTATGCTTTTTAGTTAAAAAATATACAAATTAATGATTTTCATTAAAAATCCAAGATGGCCACCAAAATGGCTGCCGATATGGCCTCCAAATGTTTTGGGAAGTCAGTGTTTTGTATTGGGAACATAAACACTGCTTACTGTGTAAATTTAGAGGTGATTTTTAGTTATTAAAACATACAAATTAATGATTTTCATTCAGAATCCAAGATGGCCGCCAATATGGCCGTCAAATGTAAATGCGAAGTCAATATTATTTTTTTAATTAAGAACATAAACACTGCTTATTATATACATTTAGAGGTTTATTTGATTTTATATGATTTTTAGTCAATGAATTATAAATTGTCTTCGGTATGACGTTAAACTGCATCCGGGTAGAGTGAGGAGGTCGTGTATGGGGTTAGTAAGTCCCAGGTAACGTCTATAAAATGTGCACAAGGACCATTACTACTTACTCTATGACTGGCGAGTTGGTCGGCGCCATAAAACCGATCAGGCCCTGGTCATTATTGTTAGGGATATCAAATCGACTGTAGGACTGCGATGTAGTTGTATCTCTATCCAGCATAGGAACCCTCAGACGGTCACTGGTGGATGGAGAACGAGTGGCAGGCGGACGACTCCGACAGGAACAACGACTGGCACCATTGCTCAAGTTAGCTGAGAATCGCAGGTTGTGGTAGTTGTTGGGGCCTGCTGCAACTATTTGCTCCTTAGTAATCACCATGGATCAGAAAGTAGAAGATAATGTAGACCTTGGCAAACGGGGTGCCAGTCAAGTTACTGGTAGTCCAACCCGGTGGAGGTTTTGTAAAAAGGTGGGCAAACATGCACCGTCATCAAGCGACTGCCTCAGAATCGGAACGTGGAACGTTCGATCGTTGTTAAACCCAGGAAAGATCTCGGGAGTAATACAGGAGATGCTTCACATGAATTTGGATGTACTTGGTATCGCGAAAACTCATTGGAAAGATGCTGGGGAATTTGTCACAGAAATACCAACTTCTCATGAAAAGTTCAGAGTCATTTATTCCGGTGGATCAAAGAGTAGAAATGGAACAGCAATTGTTTTAAATGAGGAAAGTGCAAAGACCTTGATGTATTATGATACATACTCGGAGAGGATTATGCTTGTGAAGTTGAAAGGGAACAAACATGATACTGTTATAATTCAGACTTATGCACCCACAACAGTAGCAGATGAATCAGAAGGAGATCAATTCTACGAGCAACTCACTGAAGTTATTAAATCCAATTGCAAATCCAGAGATAAATTTTTTGTTGGTGGTGATTTTAATGCCATAGTCGGGAACATCTGCCATGAGAAGATTGTTGGCCCTTTTGGGCTAGGATTGAGAAATGAAAGAGGAGACAGACTGATAGAATTTGCCCAACAACATCATATGCTCATTACTAACACCTGGTATGAACAGAGAGAGAGGTGTAGGCACACATGGACTGCACCTAATGGTATCACAAAGAACCAAATTGATTACATCTTAGTCAGTAACCGATACCGCAACAGTGTAAGCAACGCCAAGGCGAGGCATGATGTTGACTGTGGCTCTGACCATGATCCCGTCATCATTGCATCAAACACCAGACTCAAGAAGGTGTCGAGGAATACAAACCTAAAAAATGGAATCTTGAAAGGTTATCAAAAGAAAGCAATCAATTCAGAGGGATGAGAGAAGACAAGATGAAATCACTCAAAGAAACAGCACTCACATCAAATCAACTTTGGCAAGAAATAAAGACCCGGGTGGAAGAAGTTGCAGATAACATCTGTGGGAAGAAAACATCTGACAAAAAAAAGAAGTGGATAACAACTGAAATCTTAGAGATGATGGAACACCGCAGAAAGGTGAAAGAGCACGTCAGTCATGAAGAATATGGAACTCTATGTAGATACATTCAGAAAGAATGAAGAAATGCAAAGGAAAGTTACTATCAGGAGCTTTGTGTAGAATTGGAGAGGCTAGAAAGAATGAACAATGTCAGTCTCCACAGAAAGGTGAAAGAAATGAAAGGAAGAAAGCCCCAAAGTCCAACTTGGGATCAAATCGAAAGAGGGAGTAATACTCCACAATGAAGAGGAAATCACAAAAAGATGGCAAGAGTACATAGGAGAGGAACTCTTCATGAATGACAGAGGAGAACTACCTAAAATCACAATCAAAGATGAGCTGCCAATCATTAGTCTACAGGAAGTGGAAGAGGCAATAAAACAGCTTCCTAATAACAAAGCCCCAGGGGAAGACAATCTTCTAACAGAATTCTTGAAAGAACTTGGGCCACAAGGAATGCAGCAGATGACCAAACTTATCAATCTCATCTACCAAACTGGTAAACTTCCTGATGACTTCCTAGTGAGCAACTTCATCACAATTCAAAGGGTAGCAAAGGTAACCCAATGCAGAGACTTCCGCACAATCAGCCTGATACCACATGCATCGAAAATCCTGCTCAATATCATGCTTGCTAAGATCAACCCTATAATAGAAAGTCAGCTAAGTGAGACACAACTTGGATTTAGAAAAGGAAATGGTACCAGAGATGGAATGTTCCTGTTAAGATGTCTCAGTGAGAGAATGATTGAGAAACAACAGAATCTCTACTTATGCTTTATAGATTATACAAAAGCATTCGATCGTGTAAAACATTACAAACTACAAGTAATGGAAAGAGCTGGAGTCCCGGAGCATTTATACTGGCACCAGACAGCAACAATAAGAACTGTAGCTGGATGCTCGAATAGAGTGTGCATACGCCGTGGCGTCAGACAAGGATGTATTCTATCACCGTCACTCTTTAACTTATATAGTGAGATGCTACTCAATGAAGCTATGGAGAGCTGCATAGGCTTAATGATAAACGGAGTCAGCATAACCAATATCCGCTATGCTGACGACACAGTCCTGTTGGCCAATAGTGTCCAGTCTCTTCAATCGATGGTAGACTCGCTCTGCATCGTGTGTAAGGCCTACGGCATGGAACTGAATGCAAAAAAGACGAAAACAATGTGCATCATCAAAGTAATTCCAGATAATTTTGTAATCAGTGCAGAAGGTAAAGATCTTGAACAAGTCCATGATTACCAGTATCTTGGGACCACGGTTGGAAATGATGGTAGGATAGATGATGAGATCAAATGAAGAATAGGCAAAGCAAAAGCAAAGTTCTGGGAATGCAAAGAGTTCCTGAGGCGCAACATCAGCATTCACCTAAAAATTCTTTTACTGAGATGCTATGTGTTCTCTGTGGTGGCATATGGTAATGAGGCATGGCAGTACACCAAAACAAACAGGAATAGATTGCACTCCTTCGAGATGCGGTGCCTAAAGAGAATGTTGAAAATCAGCTGGAATGATAAAGTGAGCAACCAGGAGGTATTAAATATAGATGGTACACAAAGGTTGCTAGTTACTGAGTTGATGCAAAGAAAGCTGAGCTATGCAGGATATATTCTGAGAGGCAGTGGAGGTGGGCTACCTAATATCATCTTGGAAAGCTTATAGTAGGATCACGAGCCAGAGGAAGACAAAGAGAAAAATGGAGCGATGACATCAAGCTATGGAGTGATACAACATCCTACGTAGGAGCAAAAAGAGCTACTGAGAATAGAAGTGGATGGAAAACTATAGTGGAAAACCTTCGTAGCGAAGATGGCACTTGATGATGATGATGATGAATTATAAAAATAATGATTTTCGTTGAAAATCCAAGATGGCCGCCAAAATGGCCACCAAACAACCCCATAGGACATTTTTTTATGGGAACATCTAAATTCTTCCATGAGACACTTTGAGGATTACAAAAATGTTAGTTAAAAAATTTATCCTGGAGGTGCATGGGAACCCTCAGTTCCTACCCGACTACACGCACACACAGCAACTGGGGAAAACGTTCTTTTGCATCTGCTGCACCACGCCCGGAGCCAAAGACAATGAACTGTTTTTTGATCGTTCAGTTTTAGGTAGTTTGAGACCATCTAACTGCAAATCTCTTCAATACATAATTCTAATGGATGTATTGCCATGTCTGCATCTGATTGATTGGGCTAAAAAGAAATCTAAAGCTTAGTATCGTCGGCACAGGAGTGAAACTGCAGATTGAATCTTTAAACTTTGCCATCCAAGGGGTTACAGTAAATTAAAAAAAAGGGGATCAAGCACGCTTCCTTGTGCCACTCAGAGAAAGAGTCGAGGAAGTGCTAAAGATTTATCATTGATCTTAACGCACTGTGTGCTATCTGATGTGTATGATACAAACCTCTTTAGTATGGTTCCGTCAAACCCAACATCCTGTAGTCTATTTATTAAAAGGCAGTGGTCCACCGTATCAATGCCCGCATATAAATCCAGCAGAACTATGGTGACCGATTTACCATGATCCCTGACTGTTAGTATGCCATTTTCATTTCATTTATTCTTCTTAAAACATTAAAATTAGCAATAAATGAAACTGCAAAGAACAAGCACAGACCATATGAGACAGGACACCCATCACAAGAAACAACCAAATGCTTACAGATTATACATTTTTTAACAATATATAATCATTAAAAGTAAAAATTTTATGAATTTAATAGTAAAATATGCTAATATAAAAGATTTAAAATATTAACATTTTCAGATAATATTCAATAAAATTTACTTTAAAATTCAAATTTAAAATGCTAAAAAAAATAAAGTAATTAAGCTATTCATCTCCATAGTCAAGTCGGCTAACAGAGAAGAAATGTAATAATTGTAAAAAATCAACAGTAAAATAAGCATAATTTTAAAGTTTGCATTTAAAATTTTAGCACCTTTAAAAGAACAGTTCCGACACCATGATGGGTGCAATATCCAAGTCGAGAACTTTTTAGAAGAGGGTGAATTTAAGATTTTAAATATCCAGGAACGGTCCTGACGTTAAAGACTGATTAATTATGTGCGTTAAAAGAAGGACAATAGCATTAGTTTTCCTGAACTCATCCTCTAAAACAGGCTCAAATATTTTCAACTTAGCATCACTCTTGGCGACGTCTATCACACCCGGTATACTACATGTATGTTTAGGAAAATAATCTAGTATCGTGTGGATTTTAATCTACAAAGCAAGTTTTTTTTTTGTCAGATTTGCATTGAGGTAGGCCTAATGAGTTTGTCTATCACAAGAAGTAGCTGGTTTCGGTCTTTACCCCAATTACCAACTAATGTCGAATAGTAAGATTCCATAGATGTTTTAATCATCATGTTGACATTATCACATTGATATCGCACACGATCAACTTGAATCCTAGATTTTCGCCAAATTCGTTCTAAACAGCGTCTTCCATGCGCAGCCTCAGCAATCTTATGATTGTACCAAGGTGTGGTGTGTTTTGGTTCAACAATAACCAATCGAGTTTGATTAACAGAAACACAAACAGCGAATATAATTTTGAATATTGTGTGTTATGAACGATTTAGCCAATTTTCGGCGAAAAAAGTGAATCAGGAATGTCATTATTAAATATGTTAGTGTATATATTCGTAATGTTCCTGGTAATCAACCTCGTTTATTGTTATAGGACGCTAAAGTGCTAGAATGCTGGATAGCATTCTGGTCTATGAGAGACCATCCTCAACAGACGTATTCAACAAAACTCGTTATTAAAAGATCGAAAGTATGTCCGAAAGTATGTGTAAGCAATGTGATGTGTTTATGGGGGCCCGTAGCTGACAATAGCGCCAAGAAAAGGGTAACATCAGGCCCGTTATTGTTATCAAGGTATATGTTTAAGTCATCAGTTACAACAAGCTTGTGTGGCACAGAAACAAAAAAAAAGTTGCATCCTGTGTGTTGTGGTTATTTATAATATTGTGTGTAATGAACGATTTAGCCAATTTTCGGCGAAAAAAGTGAATCAGGAATGTCATTATTAAATATGTTAGTGTATATATTCGTAATGTTCCTGGTAATCAACCTCGTTTATTGGTATAGGACGCTAAAGTGCTAGAATGCTGGATAGCATTCTGGTCTATGAGAGACCATCCTCAACAGACGTATTCAACAAAACTCGTTATTAAAAGATCGAAAGTATGTCCGAAAGTATGTGTAAGCAATGTGATGTGTTTATGGGGCCCGTAGCGGACAATAGCGCCAAGAAACAGGTAGCATCAGGCTAGTTATTGTTATCAATGTATATGTTTAAGTCATCAGTTACAACAAGCTTGTGTGGCACAGAAACAAAAAAAAGTTTCATCCTGTGTTTTGTGGTTATTTATACATGATAAAGAGTGATATAGGTGTTGATGTCGAAGAATGACAATTTTAGTTCTAATGATTCAAGTGAATCAATTTTTTTTGCCCTGGAATTTTAACATGAAACCCGGATCTAAAAATAAAGCGACTCCACCTCTATTTTATTTTCACGGGGTACATGAAAGAACTTTGATCCATTCGGAGTAATGTCAGCTATTATAGCCGCATCATCAGAGCGAATCCAAGTTCCAGAAACAGCAACGGCTAAATAATGTTTTATCAAGGCATAAATCAACAAAAAATCTTTGGTTTTGTTACGAACAAATTTTGTATTCAACATACAAAATTCAACCCCAATCATGAAATTGCCTAGGCCTTCTGCTTGTGGTAGAAGAGGTAGGAGCATTTCTAACATCGGATATACAAGAAGAAGAAACAAATTGTCATATTTAGGACG